ATTCTTAAACTGTCCACTTTGATCGTGGCTCTGACTTTAAACCGTCCGCTTTGGTGGCGGCCCTATTACCCCCACTCTCCCTTTTTCTACCGGCGAGAGCAGGGAAAACCCGCTTTTTGTTGCGGATCCCCAATCTTTACCTTGAGGATTATTTGGTGCACCCCCTGACTGCAGCAAGTTCTGGGCTCCATGGAGAGAGGTTTGGAGGTTCCCTGTACGAGGCCACCAACTGTCCGTCTCTACCTCATCCAGCAAGGAAGACGCGGCCACCGGAGCTCTTCTCACTGCAGTTTATTCCAGGACCTTTATTCACTTTCTCTCTCCTCTCTTCCCTCTCTCCTTGACCTTTCTCCTCTCTCTTTCTTCCGGCAAACCTCTCCCAGCCCTTAAGTAGGCATGGGCTGCCAACCCCGAACTGCCAGGTGGGCACTGCCCATAGGTTCACGCATATGTAGGCAGCTGATAATCATTGCATGATCATAGCATAGGTCAGGCCTTAGCCATCGCAGGAGTTGATTATACATCTCCATCAGGTGTGATTCCATGCAGCTCGCTACACCTTGAACTGATCCTTCTACCTCTGCCTCCCAATTGCTCTGTCTGGTCTAGAAAAGAATGATCTACGCAGCCGTACATTTGGTTTTGAATGAGTGTACTCGGGAGGTACATAGCCAGGGAAAGTATTGGAAGAAGTAGCAGGTAGCAGACAGATGGAAGCTGCAGACAGACAGCGAGCCATCAACTCGTGAGTTTATAACATCTGACAGAGGAGACTGGAGTAGCTTGTTTAAGAGAGCAGTTAAATCAGGGGCTCACAAGCACCCACTAGAAAATCCCGAAGAAGCTGAAGCAGTCGGCCAGAGTCCCGGCACTGAGAGTCCCACTTCCTCAGTCACTTTCCTGCTGCAGGTGTTTTATGCCAGGGACAAACTGCTAGTTTCTGTTGGAGATGGCCGCCCTCCAGATGTTCTTAAGGACAGGATGTTTTATTTATTTATTTATTTATTTATAGACAGAGTTTCTCTGTGTAGCCCTGGCTGTCCTGGAACTCAATCTGTAGACCATGCTGGACTCAAATTCAGAGAATCACCTACCTCTGCCTCACAAGTGCTAGGATTGAGGGCCTGTGCCGTCATGCCCAGTTCTTTCTTTTCTTGAGATAGGGCCTCAGTATGTAGTACTGGCTAGCCTGAAACTTGCTAAGTAGAGCAGGATGGCCCTAACCTCACAGAGATTCAACTGCTTCTGCCTCCGAGTAATGGGTCAAGGCGTGTCCCATCACAGCCTCAGACTTTCAACAAGCGTAAGCAGCATGTACCAATATGCCAGGGTAATTTACAGTACACCAACCAAGTGCCAGGATTATAGCAGTGGGCATCCAGATATCTCTCTATCTATCTATCTATCTATTGTTTTTTTTTGTTTTTTTTTTTTGTTTTTTGATTTTTCGAGACAGGGTTTCTCTGTAGCTTTTGGTTCCTGTCCTGGAACTAGCTCTTGCAGACCAGGCTGGCCTCGAACTCACAGAGATCCGCCTGCCTCTGCCTCCCGAGTGCTGGGATTAAAGGCGTGCGCCACCACCGCCCGGCTCTATCTATTGTTTTTGAGACAGGGTTTCTCTGTATAGCCCTGGCTGTCCAGGAACTTGCTCTGTAAACCAGACTGACCTCGAACTCAGATCCACGTCCTCTGCCTCTCAAGTGCTGGGATTAAAGGCGTGCACTACCTCCCAGCTCCAGATATCTTTTACCATGACTGCCTTTACATGTTCCCACGTGTCCCATATGTATTAACTCAATTCCCAGACAAACTCCATGATGACCAGGTCTTGGAGGACATTGAGTATTCAGAGGAAAATCACACAATTTTCCCTCAAGGAACTCACGAAACCATTGTGTTTCTCACCAAAAACTTGGACATTTTATTTTGTTACATTTATTTACTTAGTTACTTAATGTGCTATGTGTTTATTTGTTTATTTATTCTGTGTATGCCTGCAGGCCAGAAGAGGGCACCAGACCCCATTACAGATGGTTGTGAGCCACTATGTGGTTGCTGGGAATTGAACTCAGGACCTTTGGAAGAACAGGCAATGCTCTTAACCTCTGAGCCATCTCTCCAGCCCAATGTGCTATGTGTATGTGTATGCGTGCTCCACAGGACTCTGTGGTATGTGTATATGTGTGTGCGTGTGTGTGCGTGCCCCACAGCACTCCTGTGGTGTGTGTGTGCGTGTGTGTATGTGTGCTCCACAGCACTCCTGTGGAGATCAGACAACTTGGAAGAGCTGGCTTACTCCTTCCATTGTGTAGATTCCAGGGATTGAAGGAAGGTCGTCAACTTTGGCAGTAGGGGGCTTTTACCCAATGAATCATTTATCACTCCACTTTGGACATTAACTTACTCCATTTCTTTGGTCTGGAATGCCTTTTCAACATCCAACTGGTCCTCCGGGGCTCAGCCAATACTCATGCTTCCACAATGCCTTCGTAGTTTGTACAGTGCAGTAAAAACATTCACTCGAGGAGTTGATTAGCATGCATCGAGGCCTTAGGCTCAATCTCCAGATTGGATGGAAGGAAAGAATATTCACACTTATTCATTTTTCCGTATTCCCATGTGTTTATTGTATTCAGGCTTGGGGCCTCTATTTCTAACAGTATTGTTATTGCATAAAAATTTGTAACTTCACTTCAAGGTGTGGGGTAGATGGAGGCTGCTACAGTAACCTGGAACTCCTGGAAGATGACTCAGGGTGGGTGTAATGGGTGTAATCTCTGGTTCCTGGCAGAAACAAAAGAAATGTCTTGCTGGAGAAAAACATCTCAAGTCCTGGCCCTGTGATTCCTATAGATTAAGATCAATAGTACATCATCTCAGGATGAATCATTAGACTCACAAGGAAACAATTCATCTTAAGTGAGAGTCAGCAGAAACAAACGTATATATATCTGTAAGAAGGTATAATTAGAACCAAAACATCAAATGAAGCCAGGCATGTTGGCTCTTACGTGTAATCCCAGCACTTGGGAGGCACAGGCAGGTTTGAGGTCAGTGATACCTGGTCTCAAAACTATATGTTTTCCAGGTATGGAGGCACACATCTTTAATCCCAGCACTTGGGAGGCACAGGCAGGCTGATCACTGAGTTCGAGGCCAGCCTGGGTCTACAGAGTGAGTTTCAAGACAGCCAGAGCTACATAGAGAAGTATTGTCCCGAAGCTGGGCAGTGGTGGTGCACGCCTTTAATCCCAGCATTCGGGAGGCAGAGGCAGGCAGACCTCTGAATTTGAGGACAGCCAGTACTATAAAGTGTGTTCCAGGACAGGCTCCAAAGCTACCCAGAGAAATCCTGTCTTTGGAAACAAACAAACACCAAAACAACAACAGAAGAAGGAGGAAGAAGACAGCGACTTGTTGAGTCTCTGGTTTTGCTGCTACACTGTGTTCTCCAGGCTAACTAACTATCCTACAAGAGCTTCTGGGAGAGTCTGTCTCAGCCTCCCGTCCCACCAAGGGAGTGCTGGGGTTTACACACGTGTGTCACTACAATCAAATTTATTTTCTTTAAGACAGGGTCTCACGCCGGGCGGTGGTGGCGCACGCCTTTAATCCCAGCACTCGGGAAGCAGAGGCAGGCGGATCTCTCTGAGTTCGAGGCCAGCCTGATCTACAAGAGCTAGTTCCAGGACAGGAATCAAAAGCTATGGAGAAACCCTGTCTCGAAAATAAAAAAAAAAAAAAGAAGACGAAGACAGGGTCTCACTATCTCACTATCTAGCTCTGGCTGGCCTGGAACTCACAGAAACCCATCCAGGCTAAATATCCTGCCTTTTCATATGGGTCCCAGGGATTGAACTCAGGCTCAGGTATGCTCTCAAACACCTCTGCCTGCTAAGCCATCTCCCAGGGGCTCACAGTAAGTTATCTTTATTTAAATTTTGAATTTATTTTTGTGGCTCTGGGAGTTGGTTTCGGGACTTTGCTCAGGCTAGGGTAGTGCTCTACCACCGAGTGACACATCAAAGCCATCAGGCCGGTTTTGTTGAGAGCAGTGGTGTCTTACTGTGCAGACCAGGCTGACTTGGAACTCACTCTGCAGTCGGTGTTGGCCTCCAGCTTCAGCTCGGCTGCCTCAGTTCCTTCCCTGAGTGCAGGGACTATGGGAGTGAGCCACCACATTCAATTAATATAAGACTTCTTAAGTCTAGTACCCTGACAAAAGGGTTATTTTTGTTCATTGGATTCCTTTCAAAACACCTTTATTAATGTCTAATTAGCAAAGTAGAAACTGTCCGTATTTAAAGTATGCGACTTGGCAAGTCTTGATGAGCATGAGTCTGTGCACCAAGGCAGCCTTCACTGCAATCAAGACGATGCAGTGACTGCCGTCTGTCCCTGAGTTTCCCTGTCTCCTCAGAAGCACTTCCTTCTTTTTGTTCCTCTAGTTCGGATTTCCTAAAGTCTTATGCAAACAGACTCATAATGTATGTTGTCTGTTTTCATCCACTCAGCATTACTGTTTTTTGTTTGATTTGAGACAGGGTTTCTCTGTGTAGCCCTGGCTGTCCTGGAACTCACTCCGTAGACCAGGCTGTTCTCGAACTCAGATCTTCCTGCTTCTGCCTCCCGAGGGCTGAGATTAAAGACATGTGCCCCCACTGCCTGTAGGTAACTCTTAAAAGCATTATATGATTCTAAAGGTTGGAGGGATGACTCAAACATTATATGATATTAAATTATTTAGGTGGAGTTATGGCCCAGAGGCAGAATGTCTTCCTAATGTGCTTAAGGCCCTAAGTTCAATTCCCCTGCTTCCCCCAAAACAAAATGACAACAAAAACATGTGAACTGAAATAAGCTAAAAGCAAATAATAAAATTGGTGCAACTCAACGCTATTTGATTTTGTTTTACATTTATTCATGCATTTTTTGTGCACAGAGGTCAGAGAACAACTTGCCGGAGTTGTTTATCTCCTCCCTCCGTGTGGTCCTGGGGACTGAACTCAGAGTTCAGGCCGGGTAGCAGTTCCTTTATCTTCTGGTCATCTTGCTGGCCCTGCAACTCTATTTATAAGAGAGTTAGGAGCTGGCAAAAATGATCTATAGTTTATAGTTTGTGTCTCTTTCTTTCTTGTGTTGTTTTGGGACAGAATTAGAGCCACATGCTACCACGTCCTGTTTATGCAGTACTGGGGTCAAACCCAGAACCTGGTAAACACCCGGCAAGTCCTCCATCCACTGAGCTACAGCCCCAACCCCCTCTTGTTTTTGATTGGAGGAGTATTTATGCACTTTATATCGTATTTCTCTCTATGTATAAGAGTGTTTCGTCTACACTCTTTGGTACCACAAGTGTGCAGGGCCCTCAGAGGCCAAAGGAAAGAGGAACTGTAACAACAGCATAAAAACTATAGCAAAAGTTGTGGTCCGGGGTGTGGGGAAGTGTGTGTGGCGAGTAATGGTGCCTGCCTTTAATCCCAGCCACCACATAGGTCTGAGAACTGAACCTGGGTCCTGGCAAGGAACAGTCAATGCTTTTAACTGATGAGCCATCTTTTCAGCCCAATAATATCAGGTTTTTTGTTTTGTTTTGTTTTTCGAGACAGGGTTTCTCTGTAGCTTTGGAGCCTGTCCTGGAACTAGCTCTTGTAGACCAGGCTGGCCTTGAACTCACAGAGATCCGCCTGCTTCTGCCTCCCGAGTGCTGGGATTAAAGGTCTGCGCCACCACCGCCCGGCAGTGCATCCTCCTAACTCCTAAACCATCTCTCTAGCCCCTTAAAAGACATTTTTTTAAACACAGATTTTTCTTTTTTAAATTGTATGTGTATATGTGTTTTGCCTATGTGTGTGTCTGTGCAGTGCCTGGGTGCCTGGTGCCTATGGAGGTTTGTGATGATTTAAATGTAGGAAGATGGCTCAGGAGCAGCAGCTGCTCCTTCAGGAGACCTGGGTTTAGTTCCCAGTACCCACATGGTGGCTCACAACAATCTGTAGCTTCACATGCACGCAGTAGTGGCACATACACATACATGGAAGGAAAACATCCATACTCATACAAAAAAAATAAAATTTAAAAAAGAAATCAAGTCGGGCAGTGGTGGCACATGCCTTTAATCCCAGCACTAATCCAACAAAAAAAAACCCATCAAAACAATAGCTGCTTTTGAGATATGTATTTTCTTAGTGCTGTGATGATTGAACCTAGGACCTCACACAGCCAGCAAGCGCTCTCCATTGAGCACATCCCTACCTTTTCCTCACTTCCCTTTGAGACAGGGTCTCACTGTGTTGCCCAGGCTCACCGTGAACTACCCTGACCTTGGGATCCGGCCCCAGCCTCCTGAGTAGGTGGATTCCAGACCTTCGGTTCTCCACTTGGCAGGATTATTGTCTGCTGGATGGATGTGTGAACTGTTACTGTCTCATTGAGCTGTATGTTTAAACGTATTACCAGGTACTGCATGTATGTTAGACCTCATAAAGGGACACCACTAAGCCACACCCACAGATCTTCCTACACAGCTCCAGGTTGACCTGAAGGAGAGATTTCCCTACCCCAGTCTCTGAATGCTGAGATTACAGGGGCATGCCACCATCCCTGCAATATGGTCATTTTAGTATATTCCTACTTATAAAGAAAAGTTTACTGGGCATGGCAACACACACTTATTATTCCAGCACTTAATAGGCCAAGGCAAGAGGATCTCAAGTTTGAAGCTAGCTACATAAGGAAACTTGGCCTCAAAACAGAACATAGGAGAATATAGATACAAAAAAATGATGAAAATATAGTATAGTAAATATATATACCACTAGCAAGGTTGTTCTCAAGTATCATACGCTGTACCCAATCCTGTGGGTTCTGTTTCTATCCCACTGATGGCACAGTGGGTTTGTTACAGGCTCACCACAAACCCATGAGTCATATGTTGGACTAACACTTCACTTTTTTTTTTTTTTGAAACAAGGTTTTTCTGGGTAGCCCTGACTGTCCTGGAACTTCCTCTGTAGACCAGGCTGACCTCAAACTCAGAGATTCACCTGCTTCTGCCTCCTCAGTTCTGGGATTAAAGGTGTGCACCACCACTGTCCAGCAGGTATCTTTAAAAAATGTAAAGTCTTAGCAGGGCAGTGGTGGCGCATGCTTTTAATCCCAGTACTCGGGAGACAGAGGCAGGGGGATCTCTGTGAGTTCAAAGCCAGCCTGGTCTACAGAGGGAGTTCCAGGACCACCAGGGCTACACAGAGAAACCCTGTCTCAAAAGAAACAAACAAACAAACAAACAAAAAGATACCTACAAATGTCACTAGGTAACAATAGATACTGGCTGAGAATTTTCCAATTCTGATAAAAATTGAGTTGATAGGAGAAATATAACACAATGTACAGAATAAATAGAAAAGAATCGCTATCTAAGTATACTAGGAGAAAACAAAAATGCCAATGACATTTTAAAAGCAGGGAATAGTGACAGATCATCTACAGAGACCATCAGATTGGACAGACTGACACATTGCTTTACAACCAACACACTGTATGCCTACGCTGTTCTCGGGACTCAGAACCCCATGATGAGTAAGCCCCATTTCCCACCCTGCAGAGCCCACAGTGTACGTGTATGACAGATGCGATCACAGCGTGTCTGGTTGGAGGACAAGAGAACCAGTAAGCAATGGTACGTGTAGAATTCCAGTGTGATTCCCCCCCCATTCCCACCAGTGCTGGAACAACCGTGTGTTTCCCAGTACACAAAGGGCTTTTACCACTAGAGAGGAAGGACGACAGCTGCTATGCTCATCATCTAACCTTCCTTGGGACATGAGGCAGGTCAGATGTTCAAGTCGCGAAGCTTCCTCTGGGACCCCAGAAGAAAAGGGAGCAAGCATGATCCTCTGATCCTCCTTGGAGTATTCTTCGAGATCCCAGCTGGCTGTCGAGTGCGGTGGCTTACACCTTTCATCCCAGTACTGAGGCAAAAGCATGCAGATCCCTGTGAGTTTAAGCATGGGCTACATAGTGAGACCTTGTCTCAAAACAGTGGTGCGGTGGGGAGGAGGCTGGGGAGACGGTTCAGCAGCTCTTTGCAGAGAACTGCATTCAATTCCCAGCACCCACTTCGGTGGCTCACACCCACCTGTAACTCCAGTTTGAGGGGATCCAACACTCTCTTCTGGCATCTGTGAGCACCAACACGCACGCACATGGTGCCCATATATTCATGTGGCCGCACAGACATAGGCTACAAAGGGCTGAGTTAGAGAGGAAGCGTCTGTGAGAGGGAAGGAGGCCCCTGGGGAGTGAGGGCTCCCAGCCTCACTTCTCGACTCGGTCCAGGACCAGAACTGACGTCTGTAGCAACATAAACACTGCCCTGGCTCCGTTCCAAAAGCATCCTGTCCCTTGGATTCCCTTCAAGAGTTACAAAATGCCTGTTAGCGCCTCTCTCCTAAAGACAGTGCCTATGTCCTGCTTGATCCATACCTGGGCCGAGTAGACGGTGCCTACTACTTCGGTGAAGTCTTTGGGGAGCTACAGCATGTGGGGCAGGCCCGGGAGATGTAGGGAGAGTGGGGAAGACTGCCAAGGCTGTGCAGAAAAGCAAACGGAAGGGAGGTTAACGACCGCCTTAGAGGCTCACCTGTCCAGCAAGGGGGAGGAGCGCAATCTGGGCGTCCGCCACCAAGTGCCACTAGGGAATTGGTCCTTGATTGCTCAGGGCCAGTTTCCAGGACCCGCCCTCCGCGGCCTGGGGTCCCGCCCTTCCTAGGATTTAATGCCCTCCGCTTGGGCGGCTCCGCAGCAGCCTCTTCCGGCTCTGCCAGGTGAGACTCCGCACCTAGAAGGGGCGCCCGGGGCTGGGACCAGCAGGATCCCTTTGGGGTGCGGCGCTGGATCCCTTTCTCCAGTTCAGCATTTCCTCCCTCTCAGCATTTCTTCTTGGCTGCCTTCTCTGGTTCCTCCCTTCCTACCTGTGGTGCAACTCAGGATCTTCCTGGGCCTGAACTTTCTTCTACTCTTAGTTCCTAGGCCTTCTGGGGTGATTCTCCGTGCCTCCCACCCCACCCCCACCTGCAATCCAGGGCTTCCTCGTGGCTTAACTACAGCGGGATCAGGGAGAGGGTCAGGTGTGTAAAGGCGAGCGTTTGGGCAGGCAGCCCGGACCCAAAGGCCTAGAGTCTTATTTAATAGTGGCTGGTGGGACTGCTTGGAAGCCAACTTGGGTGAAGTGACGTAGAAGAGCACCTGGGCTCTACCTGGAGCTGAGCGCAGGTGGGTGTGGGAGGACCACACACCTGGCAGCCTAGGTGGCTTTGTGAACAGTATCTGAGCTTGGCTACGGTGTTAGCCTTCAGTTAGCAGCTCAGAACAGACACCTATTTAATCTCCAGTGTTGTTATTGCCTTGGATGTTTAAGACGTGTGTGACGCTGGGTATCCCTGGGATGAGGTGACAGTAAGTCCTCATTTTGTGTTTGTGTTTATATGATCCTTGGTGTGTCAGATATGTGTGGCGGTATATCTAGGTATCTTTGGTTTGTGGAGAAAGTGAGCTGTTGCCTCAGGCACACCTGCTTGAGGGAGTGTGGCAGCGTGCCTGCATTTCACGGCAGAATATGGAAATGTCTCGGACTTGAGACATGTATCTGATTGTCTCAGGCATGTTTTGTAGCATATCTGTATGTGTGTGTGTGTTTGGTAGTGGGTGGGAGGCAGTGTACCTCCTTTATATATCTTCCTTTGTGCCTGAGGTATGGTGTTAGTGTGTGGCAGGCAAGTTGTCTCATTTATGAGGAGGAGTGAATGCGTGCAAAGGTGTGGCTCAGAACTAAATGGGCAGTGTTTGCGTGTCGGGGTACGGGGGCAGTGTGGCTCAGAACTAAATGGGCAGTGTTTGCATGTTGGGGTACGGGGGCAGGGTGCCATATCTCAAAAGATGGTTTGGCTTGGTAGCCTGGGAGGCAGGATTCTGAGATCTCAAGGGTGTGGGGAGCAGATTTCCCAGTCTTGGGGATGGGGGCAGGTTACCAGAGGTAGGTATGTATGTGGCAGAGTTCCTCACCATGTCTGATCTGCCTCTCCTTGTGTTCCTGAGTGTTTCTGATGTGTTGAGGGTGGCAGCTGAGAGTCTGTCCTTTGTGTCTTTGGTGCCTACTATAGGTCACACATTTAAAACAGACTGCCATCCACCTTAGAGGTTGACTCCAGACATGCTCCCTGAAGCCAGTTCCCTGTGGCTACTTCGGCTGCTCCGGGACATCCAACTGGCCCAGTTTTACCGGCCAATCCTTGAGGAGCTTAACGTCACTCGGCCAGAACATTTTGACTTTGTGAGGCCTGAGGACCTGGACAACATTGGCATGGGCAGGCCTGGTGAGGACCCTTTACCTTGGCCCTGTAGCTTCCCCAGCCTTCTTCCAGGACCAGTTGTTGGTCCTGTTATCCCACACTCCAGACTTTTCCCCATCCCCCCTCTTCCCTAGCCCTCTAATTGTGGCCTCTCCCAGCCCAGCGCAGGCTTGCTGAAGCCCTGAAGAGGTACCGCTCGGGTGTCAAGTCTAAGAACTGGGTCTACAAGGTATGTGGTGGTCGTGGTGGTGGGCTGGTATTTGAGGAATGATAAGCGGAGTGGCTGGGAGGGTTAATCAGGGTTCCACACACCTGAATTCATACTCCTATTTCAGATCCTTGGGGGGTTTGCACCTGAACAGAAGGAGATGGCTCCACGCTCAGACAGTCTTCTGTGTCTCCACGAGCCAGAGGGGGGACTCAAGAGTCTGATTCCAGAGGGTGCTGTGTGCAGAGGGGAGCTCCTGGGCTCAGGTTGCTTCGGTGTTGTCCATCGAGGGCTGTGGACACTGCCCAGTGGCCAAAGTGTGAGTGTTCAAGGGGCTTACTTGATCCAAGGTGCCTAGGCAACCTGCCTCCTTCATTCAAGGCCTCAGCACTGGCCCTGACCTGTTATTCTGGGTACTTGATGGTGTTCCCCCCACCTCCAGATCCCGGTGGCTGTCAAGTCCCTCCGTGTTGGTCCTGAGGGCCCTATGGGCACTGAGCTGGGAGACTTCCTGCGAGAAGTGTCTGTCATGATGAAGCTGGAGCACCCACACGTGCTGCGCCTGCACGGCCTCGTACTGGGCCAGCCTCTACAGATGGTGAGCAGACACAGGCAGTGCAGGGCTTTCCTCATAGCCCTAGGGCTAGCTGCAACGAGAAAGACCAGTGGGGCCACACTATGGCTTACATGGTGCTCTGTTCCTGCAGGTGATGGAGCTGGCGCCACTGGGCTCCCTGCATGCGCGCCTGACTGCCCCAGGGCCGACACCCCCACTGCCTGTGGCCCTACTGTGCCTTTTCCTGCGTCAGTTGGCAGGAGCCATGGCGTACTTGGGGTCCCGTGGGTTAGTGCACCGGGATCTCGCTACCCGCAACCTGCTCCTGGCCTCACCGCGCACTATCAAGGTGGCAGATTTTGGACTTGTGAGGCCGCTGGGCGGCGCCCGGGGTCGCTACGTGATGGGCGGGCCCCGGCCCATCCCCTATGCCTGGTGAGGGCGGTACTCGGATGGTCTGGCTTGAGGCAGGACTGGGAGGTAGAGAACAGCAGCCTGTTGGGAGCTAGGGCGGCGGTAGTGTGTGTTGCGGGGGAGGGGGTGGTTGTTAGTCTCCTAGAGGAGGCAGGACGGAGGCATCATCAGTTCAAGAAGCACAAAAGGATTTCTGAGGCTGATGGGGCGGGGAGGGAATCACGGGAGTGGGTGCACAGTGGATGAGCTGGGCGTATTCCTAGCCACCTTCAACTTGTGTTTGCTTCAGGTGTGCCCCAGAGAGCCTCCGCCAGGGAGCCTTCTCCTCTGCCTCTGATGTGTGGATGTTTGGCGTGACACTGTGGGAAATGTTTTCTGGAGGCGAGGAGCCCTGGGCGGGTGTTCCACCATATCTCATCTTACACCGGCTGGAGAAGGACCGAGCCAGGCTGCCAAGGCCTCCTCTCTGCTCCAGGGCCCTCTACTCACTCGCCTTGCGTTGCTGGGCCCCTCACCCTGCAGACCGGCCTAGCTTTTCCAACCTGGAAGGGCTGCTTCAAGAGGTGGGGATCCCCAACTCTGCAGACACACATAGCCTTTCTTCCCTTTATTCTCTCACCCAGAACTCCACGCATAAGGCAAACATGTCTTGATGCCTGGAATTTGGAACTTAGCTCTGAACCAAATGAGTTAGTCCCAGCAGGAATCTCAGAGCACCGAGGAGGCAGCTAGGGGCTACAAAGACGCAGCCAGAAGAGGCGATATTTGCTTCTTGGCCACAAAAGAGGCTCAGAATAGAGAGTAATCGGTTCTCATGGGCGCTTGACCAGCAAAGAGAGAGAAGTTCTGTGTGGAAGGGCAAGCGGAAGTAATGGGCTGCAGTTGGGAGCAGGGCTTCAAGGAGAGGTTAGAAGACTTGGCCAGTGTGATATACTCCTCATATATATATATGTATACAGGTGTCCTCAGTCACTCGTTTTGTCCTGGAGGTAATTGTTCTTGATCTCTGTCTAACAGACGGGGCAGTTCATGCACTGATGGGAGGGTGACTTATCTAAAGTCACACCAGAAGTGGAGGTGCAAAGAGTGGCTCCATCCATGTGAACTCAGATCTGGTCCCTAAGTCCATCTATCTACTTGTTAACACACTTTGGTCTTTGCTCTGAGGGAACTTGGGAGCTCCACAGATCAGAGCTGTTATTTCAGTCCAGCTGGGTCTGAGAATGCTAATAGGGACGTTACTGACAGCGGCTGGGAGGCAGAGTGAGAGAAAGAGCCCCAGAGCAGAGATGAAAGAGAGGGCCTGGGGAGGAGTGGGCATGCCCCTGAGATGTGTGGGGGCAAACGTGTGGGCTTGGGTATGGAATAAAAGAAGTGGACAGGGTGGCTGTCCCTTGGTCCCCTTAAGTAGAGGCACGGTTTCCCTTTGTGGTTGCATCCTGTGTACAGCATGGCATGGAATCCATGTCAGCAACCCTACCCTACTTTGGGTTACAATAGGGAGACAGGGATGGGGCTAAGCACAGAGGACATAACTAGTATGTATTTATTTGATTGATGGCTACAAAAGAAAGTCCTTTCTTTGGATTTCTTATTACCCAGCCACATTTTCCTGTTTCCACAGGCTTGGCTTTCTGAAGGACGTTGCATTAGGGAAGTTACAGAGCCAGGAGCTTTGCGGATGGAGCCGGGTGACCCCATCACTATCATCGAGGGCAGGTAACAACCTCAAATACCCTAGGCATCCCCAGGGAAGGCATCCCCCCCAGCCGTCTTGACTCCCAGTCTCTTCATTTCCCCCCATCTCCTTGAGTCTTGGTCTTGTGGGTCTTTTTCTCTCCTCTCCACTGTGCCCCAAGCTCCAACGCTGTCCTGCCCTCCCTGCTGGAGCCCTGCCTGGCCCACAGAGCCTTTTTTGTGCTGGAGAGAAAAAGGCTTCCCTCCCTCCAGGCAGATGTGGCCACAAGACAGCTTGATGAG